GGTCCAACAAGGATCCAAACAGGGGTCAAACAAGCGTCCAGGTGCCAAAGAAAGGGTCAAACACGGGTCAAACAAAGGTCAAATAAGGGTCCACAGGGGTCAAACAAAGGTCAAACAAGGGTCAAACAGGGGTCAAACAAGGGTCCAACAAGGGTCAAACAGGGGTCAACAAAGGGTCAAACAAGGGTCAAACAGGGGTCAAAAACGGGTCCAACAAGGGTCAAACACGGGTCAACAAAGGGTCAAACAGAGGTCAAACAGGGGTCAAAGAAGGGTCCCAACAAGGGTCCAACCAATGGTCGGGCAGGGGGTTTGCAGACTTCCCTGCGCCTCCCCCGAGGCAAGTTCAGAGGGTACCCGACCCTCCTCGCCTAATGGAGTTTTTCGCCCGACCCTATTTATGACCCTTGACAGGTGTCGTTTGACACCTGTTAAGGGTCATAATTAGGTCAAACGACACCTGACAAGGGTCAGGCCAAACCGCCTGACCCCTTGCACCCTCGGCGGGAATAGGCGCAAGGGGTCGCTGACCCCCCGAACTGGCGCGCGGCGAGGCGAGAGAGGGCCGACAGAGCGGCCGCGGTGTGCAAGGGGTTGGCTGCGAGGGGGAGGGGGGAGGGGGGTCGGGACAGGAGCGAGGCGAGCGGGGGGGGGGCGGTTGGGATTCGCTCGGTGCCCTCTTGGGGTCTGGTGGGGCCCTGCTTGCGGCTGGGCAAGCCTGATTTAGGGCCCCGTTGGGTGCCTGCTGGAGGCCTGTTTGGCGGCCTGTTGGAAGCCTGGTTGGCGGCCTCTTAGGTGGCCTGTTGGAGGGCTCCATGCGGGCCTCTTGGGGCCCTATTTGGGGCCCTCTTGGGGTCCTCTTGGGGCGGCGGATGGGATGGGGGCGTTGGGGTCATATTGGGGTCCTCTTGGGGTCTGGTGGTGCCCTGCTAGTGGATGGGCAGGCCTGCTTTAGGGCTCTGTTGGGAGCCTGCTGGAGGCCTGTTTGGCGGCCTGTTGGAAGCATGGTTCGCGGCCTCTTGGGTGGCCTGTTGGAGGGCCCCATGGGGGCCTCTTGGGGCCTCTGTAGGCCCTGCTTGAGAGGGGGCTGTGCGTTGAAGTCCAGCGTGCCCGTGCCTAGCGCGAAGCGCGATGACAGAATCGCGCAGCGCACCAACTTAGCCATTACTCTTGGTGCAATCTACTCGATGCATGCAAACCCTTTCTCTTGGGCCGTCTAGGGGTGCTCCCTGATGGGCACGATCCTTGATCATGCCCGCTGAACGCTCAAACAGCTTACTGGACGCTCTCACTGGTTCACTGTGTACACTATTCAAATTACCCTCACGGTTTTCACGACCGTCGTTCCTGGCATGTAATCCTCATTGTTACAAAGGCAATCATGTATCATATCAAACACACGCGGTTATGAGATGGCATCCCGATCGCTACCTTGATCTCGGGCACCACAATACTTACCCCGACCTATCTCCAATCGCTCAGCCCCCTGCTTAGTGACCCGTCCAGCCGTGGCGACGGGGGCCGCGTCCGATCGTGGCGACAAGGCCGAGCGCTTGGAGGGAGATCCGCAGAGGAGAGCGGCATTCGTTTACAGAACGTTCCTTCAATACAATCCCGCCTGGACCTAATTGATCTCTGGCGGCTCCTCTGGCTCGCCGTCGCGGCGAACGCGCTCGAACCCGAGCATATGCGCCATGAGCGGCCCAGCGTCCTGGAACTGGCGGCGCTTGGCCTGGCGCTCTGCCAAGGTCGGCTGGTACCTGACGCGCTGCTCCTTGTTGTCGCATGGGTGGTCCAGCCAGGCCCCCTGGCGAGCCATAGGCCGACCCTGGCCCAAGCGCTGGCCGCGTTGTGCGCCCATGAATGGCAACGCCGGGCGCTGCAAAGAGCACTTGACGTGGCCTGGCCTGGTGCACTGGGCAACGAAGAAGCCGCCGCGGTAAAACGAGATGAAGCCGTGCGGTGTGAAAACCCTCTGCAAAGCATCTTCGCGATCACCTGCCGCATGCCCAGGCGGTGGCGGTGGCGGTGGTGGCGGGGGCGCTCCGCCAGCAACGCCGCCAGCGCCCCCTGGAGGATCATCGCCGCCAGGAACAAGCACGCCATCGTCATCACCTCCTGGAAGCCCACCGTCGCCACCGTGACCATCGTCGCTGCCATGGCCGCCAGCAGCATAATCCTGCCAACGGAGCATGTTGCCGGAAACACAACATCGTCGAAACGTGATGTCTCAAAACAACAACCGTTTGCACTCCCAAGAACCCACCTGGAAATTCTCCCATCACCCCTTAATCAAGTCCGACATCGGGCTTCGACGAAACGATGTTCAAGTAGCATTTCCGTGCACCTAGCGTCCTCGCCATCTGTATCGGACGACCCCCTGCTGGAAGCCGAAGTACTCGAACTGGAAGTGGAAGAGCTCGCATCTGGTTCGGACCGAGACTCGCCCCTCGACGACTCCTTGTCGCTGTCGGCAGGCCCGTCGACCAGCGCGAGCGGGGCAGGTGCGTCGCCGAGAGCAGCAGGAAGCCCAGCGCGACCGCGGCCGCGGCCACGACCTCTGCCGCGAGCAAGCCCACCGTGAGCAGGACCAGCCCGACCAGCCCCTGCGTCGGTCGCCTTCACGCGCTTCGTGGGCGGAGGAGGCCACACCACAACGCCATCTTGAGGACCGTAAGCTTTCACCAACACGAGGCCAGGGATCAAACCAGCGAGCCGTCGTTTATGAGTGCAGATCTCCAACCAAGAAGCTTTCCACACAATATTAGTCATCTCCATCTCCTCGACGCTGAAAATCCACAAGGTTGGATGAAATCTTCCGGTTGCCTGATGATGCGTAAAACATTTGGATCGACCTCAAAACTCAACCCCCGTATACAGGAAAATTTTGAAAACAGCTCACTTCTGATCACATTCAAAAACACAAACGGAAACCAAAAACCTGGGCCCTCATTATGCCCCATATCCTCCCTCTCCCCCCCCCCCCCCCCCCCCCCCCCCCCCCCCCCCCCCCCCCCCCCCCCCCCCCCCCCCCCCCCCCCCCCTCCCCCCCCCCCCCCCCCCCCCCCACCCCCCCCCCCCCCCCCCCCCCCCCCCCCCCCCCCCCCCCCCCACCCCCCCCCCCCCCCCCCCCCGCCCCCCCCCCCCCCCCCCCCCCCCTCCCCCCCCTCCCCCCCCCCCCCCCCCCCTCCCCCCCCCCCTCCCCCCCCCCCCCCCCCCCCCCCCCCCCCCCCCCCCCCCCCCCCCCCCCCCCCCCCCCCCCCCCCCCCCCCTCCCCCCCCCCCCCCCACCTCCCCCCCCCCCCCCCCCCCCCCCCCCCCCCCCCACCCCCCACCCCCCCCCCCTCCTCCCCCCCCCCCCCCCCCCCCCCCCCCCCCCCCCCCCCCCCCCCCCCCCCCCCCCCCCCCCCCCACCCCCCCCACCCCCCCCCCCCCCCCTCCCCCATCATCCCTTCCTCCTCACCGCCCCCTACTAACATTGAAGAGCAGCGGTCTTAGGTGTAAATTAAGCACTTCGCTAACCAATCTCTATAACGACACGCACAGCTTACATTTGTGAATGAGCATGTATGTACGATATGACATACGCGCAGCATGCGCACTACCTCACTACTGGAAACGAACACATGTGCGCGCGCACATAGTGCAACGTATTAACAGAGCGTGCGTGGTGTTCGAATGCGCAACGTCTAGAACATGCACCACGCAGCGTTGCTAAAAGCATTAAGCGCGCGTGCCTATTGTGCCAACCGAATCAGTACAAGACAACTTCTCTTGGCGGAGGACCCAACCACGTGCAGTTGTGAGTACCGCAATCGTGAATATCTTCTTCGGTGGCGATCCCAATGGTGCCACGAAACGTGTGAGGGGTGTGCCGACATGTGTGGCGGGGCGCAAAAAAAAACACATGGGCCGCTGGGGCCTTCGGTGGAGCGAAACGAAGGGAACGCTTACATGCGGACTGCGCCACTGGGACCTTGGGTGGAGCTCCCTATGGGGGCACGAAGAATGTGAGGGGTGTGCCAAAATGAGGCGGCGCCGCCATGCGGACTGCACCACCAGGACCTTAGGTGGAGCTCCCCATGGGGCCAGGAAAATGTGAGGGGGGTGGCACAATGGCTGACCGCCTGGGTCGAGCGCGGGGCCCAGGCTCGCCTGACTGGCTGCGACCACGCGGGAAGCCGAAATTTATTGCGGCGCGCGTTGGCCGCGCAGCCAACAACCAATCGCGCGGCCACCTTTGCTCAGCGGCCTAGTTCCACGGCGCATGAAGCGTTCTGTCGCAACGATGCCAGCGCGTCGAACGGACTCGCTCCAGAGATGCAGAATCCCACGCGCGCAGGGCCCGCTCCCAGAGACAAGGGCTCGGGCCAGCGGGGCCAGCGCGCGCGAGCGCGTGCCCGGGCGTTCTCGCTCGGGCCGCTGGCAGCGCCAGCGCGCGCAACAATTGATCGGCTCGCTCTCCAGAGGCACCCCTTCGGTTGGACGGTGGCGATTGGCGGCGCGTGCGCCCCGGGCGAGGATTGACGTGGCCAGGCGCGCTCGCGCTCGGCGCCGCCCGCGCGCGCCGTGGATACACGGCGTCCGAGAGCCATGGCGGACGCTGCCGGGCAGAGATGTCCTGCGGCGGAGAAACGGGCGGCCAGCCGTGCCATCGAACCTTGGCGCGCGGCTGCTCGGTCGAGCGCGGGGCCTGGGCGCGCGGCGCTAGCTGCGCCCCGTCGCGGGGCCAAAGTGGGCGGCGGCGCGCGGTGGCCGCGCCGCCAATGACCGATCGCGCGGCGAACTACCCAGTGCGCGCCGAGATGCCAGGAACTTCGGGCCGCAGCATGAGAAACCCACCGTCGCGACGAGGCCGGCGCTTCGAGCCGACTCGCGCCCAGCGCGCAGATTTCCGCACGCGCGGAGCGCCATGCGCGCGCAAGGTCTGCCCCGAGAACGGCGGGGAGGCGCGGGGAGACGTTGGGGGCCGAGCCGTCGGAGGCCGCGGACGGCCGAGCTCCCGCGGCCGGCGCGCGCCTGCCTCGGCATTTTTATTTTGCTGGGTGGGGGGCGGTTGCCGCCTCTGCCGCCCGTCCAACGGCGCGCGCGCGCGAAGCAACCATCTTCGCCATTCGACGGGCGAGCAGGCCAGTCCGCGCGTCGAGGGGCCAACTCTGCGCGATGATGACACTTGTGCACTCCATGCTGCTGCTCAGTGCGATTGTCTGCGAGTTGTCCACGGCAGTCCAGCTGCAGTGGCACGAGCCATTGGAGCGGGGCGTGAAGGCTCCAGCGCGCGCGCGAGCCTAGCGCCGTTCCGAGTTGGTTTCTGCGGACGGAGATCTCGCCGCAAGAGTTGGCCGATTTGGGAAATAGGGCCGAGCAGGATGCTCGGGCGCAGGAGTTGCCAGACAAGCGCAACAGCGCGGGCCCCTGCCGCGTTCTCGCGAGGTGGCGGCCCAGCGCGGCAATGTTTCTCTCGCGCCCGAATGCGGCGCGCATGGATTTTGCAGATCGCTGCGTCGACGCGCGGACTTGGCCGACCGCGGCGCTGGTTGCTTTTTCCAGCAGGCTTCTCTTGCGCGCAGAAAGATTACGTTGCGCCGTTGGGCGTCCCCGCGCGCCCGCGCGTTCGCCGTCGCGGCGGGCGCGCGCGAGCGCGTTTCCGAGCGTCCGCGCTCGGGCCGCTGGTTGCATCGGCGCGCAAAACAATCCAGTGGTTCGCTTTCTGCAGGTGCCCGTCGGGCTGGGAGGTGGCGATTGGCAGAATGTGCGGCTTGGGCGAAGATCAACGGGGCCGGGCGCGCCCGCCGTCGCCTCTGCGCGCCGCAGGTGCACGGCGCCGTCGGGTTATGGTGGATACTGCCGGGCAGAACTGTCGTTCGACGGAGAGTCAGGCGCCCGCCTTGCCATCGAACCCCGACGCGTAGCAGTTGGGTCGAGCGTGGGCTCCTGGCGCGCTTGATCAGCTGCAACCAAGCGGGAGGCCGAAATTGCTTGCGGCGTGTGTTGGCCATGCAGCCAATAAACGCCCTCGCGTCGACAGGTGCCAAATGCGCGCAGCGCGGCCAGCAGCCTCGGCCCGCAGCCTGCGACACATTCTTTCGCGATGCACGCGGAGCGTCTTGCGCGCGCGGGGCCCGATCCGAGAGACAGCGCTCACCGGGCGGGGGGAGTCAGGAAAGCCAGTGAGTGCCAAGCCTTCACCGCACGCGCGATTCCAGCACTGTTCCAGGAAGATTTCTGAAGAACTGAGATCTCGCCGCAAGAGTCGGCAGAATGCTTGGGCGCAGAAGTTGAGGGACGCGCGCGACAGCGCGGGTCACCACCGCTTTCTCGCAAAGTGGCGGCCCAGCGCGGCGACGTTTCTCCCGCTCTCCTCTGCCTTGGCTTTGGGCTGGGTCGGGCGAAGGCATGGGGGGCTGACGGTTTCGCATTCGCTTCGCTGCAGCTCGCTGAGAAGCGGGGGGCCCGCCGCGCCGTCGGGTTTGAATGCAGGGCGCGAGGGTTCTGCTGATCGCCGCGGCGACGCCTGGACTCGACTGACTGCGGCGCTCGTTGGTTTCCCCGAGCCATCCTGTGGTATTGGGCCTTCGTTTTGAAGAGAAAGCGCCCCGCATTATTTCCCGCCCGCCTCAGCACCCCCCCCTTCCTTGCCTTTGCGTTTCGCGGCCCCATGGGTGGCCCCGCAGAAGGCTTCAATGGCTGAGCTCGCATGCGGTTCTCCCACCCAGCACAGCGCTTCGTGACCGCATAGGGAATTCCACCGAAGGGCCCAGTGGCTGAGCTCGCGTGCGGTTCCTCCACCCAGCAAAGCCTTTCGTGGCCCCGCTGGCGGCTCCGCCGAAGGCGCCAGTTGCTGAGCTCGCGCGCGGTTCCCCCACCCTGTGCAACGTTCCGCGGCCTCATGAGGAGCTCCACCGAAGGCCTCAGCGGCTGCGCTCGCATGCGCCCCCCCCCGCCCAGCGCAGCGTTCCGTGGCCTTATGTGGGGCTCCACAGAAGGCCCCAGTGGCTGCGCTCGCACGCGCCTCCCCCACCCAGTACGGCGCTTTGTGGCCCCATGGGGAGCTCCACCGAAGGCCCCGGTGGCTGCGTTCGCACCCGGTCCCCCTGCCCAGGACAGCGCTCCGTGCTCCAGAGAGCTCCGCCGAAGGCCCCCGCGTTTGCACTCGCATGCGTTTCCCCCGCCCAGGGGGCTCCACCGAAGGCCCCAGTGGCGGCTTCGTCCCAGTGCTGCACGCCTTTCGCATGCTTCGCGGGTTCTTCTTGCGCGCGGGAAGTTCAAGTTGCGCCGCCGGGCGTTTCTGCGCGCCCCGCGCGCGAGCGCGAGTCCGAGCGTCCTCGCTCGGGCCGCTGTCCGACGACAGCAAACTGAATGAACGTGGCAAAGGTTCGCGCCGTCGGGCGATGAGGCGATTGCGCCGGGGGAGGGAGGGGTGGGGGGGGGGGGGCGATATCTGATTCGACCGATCCCATCCAAAGGGACACCACGTGACACTTGTCGATCTCACTATCGATCCCATTCGATGGGGCACCGCGGGACACCACGGGACACAGCGGGGCACCTCTCGATCTCACTCTCGATCTCACTATCGATGCCACTCAACGGGACACCATAGGACACCTCGGGACACCACATTGATCTCACTGTCGATCTCACCCAACGGGGACACCACGGGGCGCCCGTCGATCTCACTATCGATTTCACTCTTTGGGACACCACGGGACACCTCGGGGCACAGCATCGATCTCACGATCGATCGCATTATCGACTTCTCTCAGCGGGGCACCACGGACACCGCGGGACACCACGGGACACCGCGGGGCACCGCGAGCCACCGCCGGACGGGCGGGAGGGGGGGAATCATTTGCTTCGACCTCGCCTTAGCAACGGCGGACACCACGGGGCACCACGGGACGCCGCGGGACACCGCGGGGCACCGCGGGCCACCGCCGGACGGGCGGGAGGGGCATAATCATTTGCCTTGACTTCGCCCCAGCAACTGCGGGCTCATTCCTCTCGCGCACCCACGCAGCTTCGCCTCGCCCGTGCGCGCGACGCAACCGAAACGAAACGATTTCGAGGTTGCCGCTGCGATCTCACCCCCGCAACCTCCGAAGCATATATATTTATATATATATAATAAGCAGCTAGCAATAGTGAAACCCGAACAGTGGCTTTCTTGTGAGCTACGTGGCGCCATAGATGTGGCGCAAGCAACGTGGCGCAGGTCACCCCGCCGAGCTTGCAGCCCCGCTGCTCGCGCAATCATCCCGCCCGCGCACCCGCAACTGGGTCTGCAAAACCCATGCGCCGGCGATTGCGATGGCTGCTTGGCGCTGGCTGGCGCGTCGCTGCGGCCGCGCTGGCGCGCGCGAGCTCGCGCGCAGAGCGGCCGGCTAGCTGCGCGACTGATGCGAGTCGGTAACTCGGGCGGGTGCGATACCATGACAACGTCGACAACGGCTGACGCGCCTGGGTCGAGCGCGGGTAGCACGTGGCGCAGGCCCAGCTGGTGCCGCGGTATCCTTGGGCTCCCGACCGCCGAGCGCGTTCTGTCGGCGGCTCGTCGCGCTGGCGCGGAGCGCGAAATCCCGCGGTCTGTCGAGTGGGCAAGTGCCGCGGGCCCAGTGGCTGCCTGTCTTGACGATTAAGCGCCATCGATGCCACCCCGCCGATCCCGGCGCTCTGGCAAGCGCCGGCCGCGGGCCTGGCGAAGCCAGCCATCGCGCGCGCGAGCGCCGGCGACGCGTGCGCGCTTGCGGGCGCGGGCCGAAAACCAGGGAAACTAATCCGGCGCGCAGTGCGGCGCACTCGGCCAACGATTGAGAAGGGATAAAACGTGCGTTGCGCAAGCATTGTCTCGGAGGCTTGCGAGGAAAAGAGGGCGGCGCGGTCGCGCCCAACCAGGCGGCGCGCTCTCGAGCAGGCGCGGCCACAGGCATCAAGCCGCCGATGAAGATGTCCAGAGAGGGGGCAGCGTGCGCCGGATACGTCCCGGTCTGCGCTCCTGCGTCGTTATTTCCGTCATCGCGTGAACACTCACACCCAATCCGCCGCTTCTAGTTTGGCAGAGCTGGAGGCGATCAGGGCGCGCTGACGGGGGAGGGCGAAGGGAGGGGGGGGGCGACGGCAGGGGAGGGGCCAGGAATCAGCTTTCAGTGTTCTGGAGGTCGGCTGGGTGCACGGCGGATGATCCCCTCGCGCGGGGCCCCGCCATGATGTCCGCGATGGCGTCCGCGTTTTCGTGCCCCGCGGCCAGACGTAGCTCCCGCGCAGCGACCTCTCTCACCCCAGCCGCAGCGCGTGCCTGGCGCGCCAGGGCAGGCCAGCCCGCCAGGGCAGTGTCGCAGCAGGCGCGGGCAGCATCGCCGAAGGGGCATGGGCGTGCTCCCAGTAGCGCGAATGCTCGAAAACCGATTGTTTAGAATCGGGGCCATCGTGCGCCCGTCCCAACCTGCCCGCCGCCAGAGTCACTTCCGCCGCGAGCGTTCGCCATTCAGCTCGTCTGCGCGGGCCGCGCCCCGCGGCGCGAGCGCGCTCCTCCGCGCGCGAGGGCGGGGGGGCGCGCGGAAGTGGTGGCGCGCCGCGAAAAGCAGAGACGCGCCGCGCGATGGGGCGCGAGCGCCGGGGCGGGGGAGGGGCTCGAGACAGCGGGGCCGACGGGGGGCGGAGGGGGCGCTGCCCCAGGGGCAGCGGGCGAGAAGGCGGGCGAGGCAGCGGCGGAAGGGGGGGGGCAAGCGCAGCCGCCGCTCCTCGGCACCGATCGGCGGCGGCGGGCGCGCCGCGCCAGTGGCGCGATTCCCTCGCGACGACGCTTCTGCATGTGCTTTGCGCGGGCAGTGCAGCGGCAGAGCGAAAGGCGTCGCGCGCGCCATTTCCATGGGCGAGCGCCGGCAGTGGCCGCGCAGCGCGCGCCGCGCGTCTGGCCCATCGAGCGCGGGGACTCGCAATTCCATCCCAGCCGCCCTGGCAGCGAACAGCGTCGGAGCAGAGAGTGCCCGAGCGCCTGCCCTCTCCGCAGCGCGCGCCGCCAATGTGGGGGCCGACGCCGCGCTGCTCGCGGTGGGCGCTCCTCTCGTGTTTGGCCGGCTTCTCATCGGCAAGCCGCGCGCCGCCAGGGTCGACCAGCGGGCTTGGGCGAAGAGGTTCGCCCAGTCACGCCGCGCCCGCCATCCGATTGCAGCGCGTTCGCGGCGCGCAGGAAGCCCCGGGAGTTCCGACGCGCGCGGAGCGACGCGCGCGACATGTTGCCATTGCCGAGCTAGCGCGCGCGCGCCGTGCTGGCGGCGTCGCGCGGATGCGCGACACGCGCGGGCGTCGGGCGCCCAGCTCGGTCCGAAATGGCAGCGCGCGGGCCATTCGATCGCGCCGCAACGCATGCGCTTCCCCGTGCTTCTTGTTTCTCCGGGACCCACCGCTTCCAACACCTTCGGGTGCATCTTTGGGTCGCCGGCCGATCGCCGACGCGGCTGGAGGCAACTTGACTTGGGCGCGCCCAGCGCATTCTTTGCACGCCATGGCCAGAAGCACCTCGCTATAACTTTGGGGCGCATGGGGGGCGGAGCGGCAGGGTGGGGCGGGGTGGTCGTTGCAGCATATGCGCGCCGCATTCGGTGCGTAGCTTCCGTGGGCGCCTGGGCGTCGATGACAAAGCGGCGCGCCGTCGCTGCCGGGTTTGTTAGCCTGCCCTGCGTTTCTCAAGCTCGCGGAACTTGCGCTCGTCGCGATTGTTCTGGTTCGCAAGTGCGCCAAATCGCGCTGCAGTTGCAGAGCGTTCGTGCATCCGAGAAAGAGCGAGCGGACGCAGGGCGGATGCGCTCCGCTTGCGCGCCGGGCACCGACGCATCGGCGGCGGCGGGCTTCCGCGCCCAGGAGGCGTTTCCCGCGGCGACGATGCGTCGGTGAGACGTCGCCCCGCGGTTCTGGGTGCGCCGGCGCGCCAGCTGATTTCCATGTCGAATCGGAGGCGGCCCCTTCCGCCCGATTGCACGGCGCGCGCGCGCCGAGCGCGGCTGCGCCAAGGGCAACAAGCCTAGGCAGCGCCGCGGAAGACGGTGCCTGCGCGCGCGATTGGAGCAAGCAGTGCCCCGACGGCGCGGCGCAGCCTGCGGCGCGGCGCCGACGACGGACCGAGTTCAATCGCGCGAGGGTGGCTGTGGATGGAGGGGGGCGGTTGCGCAGCGCCCCCTTCCTACGAGTTCGTCGGCGCCCGCTCTGCGCGGGCGTCGAGAGATGCTGATCGGCGCGAGCGCGCCAGGACCCTGCAAGGCAGCGCAAGATTTCACATTTGCAGATGTGGCTTCGAAGCGTCGGTTCGCGTTGTCTTGCCGTTCGCCGTGGCCCTGCGCAGAAGGATCGCGACGGCCACCTTGCCCCGCGATTGTCCGTCTTTCTTTTTTTTGGCCGCTCGGCCAGGGGCGGCGCGTCCACTTCAGCCGCCGTTGGCGGATCGCGCCGCGCTGGGCGCTTGGCGACGCGCAGATGAGTGCCCGCGCGGCCGGGATTACGACGTTTGTCCTCGCGGCGCCCGCCCGTCGCACCGCGCGGCGATCGGCCACCGCGGGCTTCGCATTGGCGCGGCACCAGGATGGCGCGGTGCCGACGGCGGAGTGTGCGTGGCGCACCAAAATGAAATTTCCAAGAATAAGCGACGCCGCGCGAACGGACTCGGCCAGCCGACACGGGCCCGGCTTCGCAAGGTGCCGCCACGCATTTGCTTTTGACGCCATGGGCGTAGGGGCGAAGCAGGCGCGCCGCAGCAGATTGGCAAGTGCCAGCTCAGATGAATGAGAGCGCGAGGAGCTTGCTGCCGCGTGCAATTTCACGTGGCCTTGCCGGCCAGAGTGTTCACCGGATCTGAGGCAGCCAGCAGTTGGCGCTGCGCTTGTCGACGCAGGCAGAGCGCGCGCAGGTCCCCGTGTCCGCAGGCAAGCAGGGGCAATCTCGCGCGCGCGTTTAACGAGCCCCCGCGGGCGCAGGCGTCGCTTTTGGCTCGCGCCGAATCGTTGTTCAATCGTGAGGGGTGGGCGACGGCGGTAGATTTGTGCGTGGCGCGACGCATGTCCATCGAGCCAGCGCCGCGCAGGGTGATGGATGACGCCCGCGCGCGCGCTGGTAGCGAATTGATTTGTCGGGCAGGCGCCGCCGACGTATGTCGGCGCGCCGCAGCCGCGCGAGAGTCACATTGGTCGCCAGCGCGCATCGAGTCGCGACGTTCGAGGTAAGTGCCCTGGCGCGCTGAACGCGACAGGATTGACCGCGTCGCAGAAGAGCGCGATCGGCCCCCGCTCGCCGCGGGCGAGCCAGCCGCGCCGAGCCGTGCGGTCGAATTCTTGCAGCGACCAAGTGCGGGATCGCGTACCCTTGCTTATAGTGGAAGAACCGCGTTGTTGGTCGTCGTCCGCAGGTTCGCGCTGCTTCTGTGGAAGCCAGCGCGCGTGCCGCGTCACGCCGGTTCTGCGATGCGCGAGTTCCACGTGGACGAAGCTGTCCGAAGGCTCTGCGCCAAGCGCGGAGATCTTTCGGATCAGGTCGCGAATGATCTGCGTCGGACTGGATCAGGCGCAGCTCGCGCCAGTGCTCGCGGGGCGGTCTGGCCACTTGGTCGTCGAGATCATTTCGCTCGCCTCGGCTCCTGGCCAGGGCGGGGGCGGGCCTGCTGAGCGGGCGGGGGCGCGGGATCGGGCGGAGCTTGAATCGCGCGCGTCGCCCATGCATGTCTCCCTGCACGGCCCCCAGACCCAGTCAGACGGGTCGTGGGTGACTTGTGAAGTGTGACCAACTTCGCGGCGCCACTTCTCCGCTGCGCCGCGGGCGATCCGCCGCATGGGCCCACCGATTCTACGGCCTGCCACTTTTGCTTGTGGCGCAGGCCCAGCTGGTGCCGTGGCATCCTTGGGCGCCGAACCGCCGAGTGCGTTCGGTCGGCGACTCGTCGCGCGGGCGCGGGGCGCGAAATCCCGCAGTCTGTCGAGTGGGCGAGTGCTGCAGGCCCAGTGTGTCTTGACGATTAAGCTCCTTTCAGCGGGATGCCCCCCCGCCGATCCCGGCGCTCTGGCAAGCGCCGGTCGCGGGCCCGGCAAGGCCAGCCATCGCGCGCGCGAGCGGCGACGACGAGGGCGCGTTTGCGGGCGCGGGCCGAAAACAAGGGAAAACAATCCCGCGCGCAGTGCGGGGGCGCGGCGGCGACGGGCGGGGGCCGGCCGAAATTTCGGCGCATTCGGCCAATGACGCGGGAGAAACCATAAAACATGCGTTGCGTAGGCGTTGTTTGGGAGGCTTGCGAGGACAAGGGGGCGGCGCGGCCGCGCCCGACAAGGCGGCGCGCATTCGAGCAGGCGTCGCCACGGGCATCAAGCCGCCGATGGCGATGTCCAGAGAGGAGGACCCTTCGTCGGATACGCCCCAGTCTGCGGTCCTGCGTCGTTGTTTCCGTCATCGCTTGAACACTCACCCCCAATCCGCCCCTTCTACTTTGGCGGGGGTCGAGGCGATCAGGGCACGTGGGCGTGGGAGGACGAGGGGGGGGGGGGGGCGACGGCAGGAGAGGGGCCAGGAATCAGCTTTCAGTGTCCTGGAGGTCGGCTGGGTGCACGGCGGATGATGCCCTCGCGCGGGGCCCCGCCACGGTGTCTGCGATGACATCCGCGCCTTCGTGCCCCGCGGCCAGACGCAGCTCCCGCGCAGCGACGCTTCGCACTCAGGCCGCAGCGCGCCCCTGGCGCGCCAGGGGTGGCCAGCGCGCTGGGCGCGGACTAGCGCGAACGCTCGATGACCCACTGCCCGCAGTCGGGGCCATCGTGCGCCCAGCCCCAGCTGCCCGCCGCCAGAGCCACTTCCGCCGCGAGCGTTTGCCACTCCGCTTGTCTGCGCGGGCCGCGCCCCGCGGCGCGAGCGCACTTCTCCGCGCGCGAGGGCGCGCGGAGGTGGCATCGCGCCGCGAACGGCGGAGCCGCGCCGCGCGAAGGGGCACGCGCGTGCGGGCGGGGCCGCGCGAGGGCGGGAGGACATCGACGCGGCGGCCCGGGCATTCGCGGCGACGCAGCAGCTTGCGCCGCCAGATTGGCACGTGGCGCAGGCCCAGCTGGTGCCGCGGTATCCTTGGGCGCCGGACCGCCGAGCGCGTTCGGTCGGCGGCTCGTCGCGCGGGCGCGGAGCGCGAAATCCCGCGGTCTGTCGAGTGGGCAAGCGCCGCGGGCCCAGTGGCTGCCTGTCTTGACGATTAAGCGCCATCGATGCCACCCCGCCGATCCCGGCGCTCTGGCAAGCGCCGGCCGCGGGCCTGGCAAAGCCAGCCATCGCGCGCGCGAGCGGCGGCGACACGTGCGCGCTTGTGGGCGCGGGCCGAAAACCAGGGAAACCAATCCGGCGCGCAGTGCGGCGACGCGGCGGCGACGGGCGGGGGCCTGCCGAAATTTCGGCGCACTCGGCCAACGATTGGGAAGGGGTAAAACCGTGTTGTCCTATGTCCGCTAGGTTCTGCAAACCAAAGAAATCCTTCAAACAGGTTGAAAATAGGTTAAAGCGTACATGATAATATTGAGGGCTGCATTGCTTAAAACTTGCCTAAAAATTGCCTTGTGCGTTTTTGCAAGCCTTCTTGATTTTTTGTTGGGCCAACGTTGTTGTGGTTTGCATGGCGACTAACCCCTGCGCTGTTATTGCCGACCGTGCTTTTCTTCTTATTGTCTCAATGTCCTCCACGTCCTCCTCCTAAGGCCCCTCGTGACTTACCTCATCCTCTCCCTCCTTGTCCTCGGCATCATTGTTTGAATCGCCCCCCCCCGTTGCCCTCTCGCTCGCTGTCGGTTTCGGCCATGGGTCCCAGGAGTCCAAAGGAGCGGGCGAGATCAAGAAGAAACCGAAATCCAGACAAGGCCGAAACCCAGGGTCCCCAGGACAAGCGCGAAAACAACAAGGCCGAAACCGACCTCGAGCGAGAAGGCGATGGGGGGGGGGCTCCCCCGACGAACGTTTTCTCTCCTCTCCCCCGCGCCGCGGGCCTCGCCTCGAGCTCGCCTCGCGGCGCGGTCGGCCGCGCCGACGCGCCCAAGCAGGGCGCGAAAAAAAAAGCACCCTTGCAGGGTGCTGAACCACCAGCACCAGAGGAGTGAGCGAGATCTCCCTCGTCGTCTTTCCTCCTCTCCCTCCTCCTCCTCCTCCTCCGCCCCTCTCCCCTCCTCCATCCTCTCTCCTGTACCCCTCCCCTCCAATCCCCTCCCCATCTCATCCCCCCTCATTCCTTCCTCCTCCCCCCGCCCTCCTCCCTCCTCCAGCCCCCCTTCCGCCGCCCCTCCTCCCCCTCCTCATCTTCAAACTCACCGCTGTCATACTACATCCCACCACCTTCCTCATCTCTCTCATCCTCTCTGGGGGGGCTCGCCGCGGGGCCCGCTCCCGAGCCTAGCTGTGCTTCAGCGCGAGCTGGTACCTCTCCTTGAGCACCTTGTTGAAGCCGTCTGGCTTCATGGACCAGTCCTTCAGGTCGGTGGCGATCCCCTTCGCGAGGCCCTGCATCTTCACCTTGTCCTTCATCGTCTTGCCGTCCGCGAAGATCGCGATCATGCGGACCGTCGCCGTGGTCTGCCGAATATAGCTGAGTTCATCCAGCACAGCCTTCTCGTACTTCTCATCGCGCACCAGGTAGAACATGTCGCACGTGCTGCAATACTGCTTGAGGCCATCCTCCACCGCCTTCGCACGCGTCTCGAAGCCTGTCGCGTCCAAGCCAGTGACCGTGTCGTTGTGGAGCTGCACTATAGCATCTACGTCCTGCTGGCTCTCCAGCTCGCGGCTGAACCTCGTCAAGGTCTCGTTGCCATCCAGGTCGGACTTCAAACTCGCACGATCCCTGTCGATGTAGTCCTTGATGCTGTCCCGCTTGATGCTTCCCTGCTCCGTGATGGTGTCCTTGCTGTGGCCGATCAGCTGCATGCTCATCTTCATGACGCGCTCGCTCTCCTTGTAGTGGTGCTTGCAGTTCTTGGCGGCAACCACTGCTTCGTGGTAACTGGCGGTGAGGTCGGCCATGGCCTTGTCCATATCTGCCCTGGTCTTGGTAGTCGGCGGCTGGGTGTCCGACACGAAATACGCAGCGACGTCATTGACATTGAGCACCTGGTTCACCGTGTTAAACACAGCTTTCAGGAGGCCAGTGGTCTTGTTGATATTATCCTTGCTCTTGTCAGGGCTATGCTCGCCCATGAGCTCCAACACGCTGAACAACTCGACTGTCGCGTCCCTCAAGAAGCAGCCGTCTTTCTCAAGGTCATCCTCGACGCCCACCTCCCCGATGAGATTCGTTTGGATCTTGACCGCCTTCTCCCCGAACAGCTCCTGGATATCATCAGGCAGCGCGCGACCCTTGACAGCGCCCGTCGCGTGCTTCAGCAACTCAAGCGCTCCACCCTCTTGCCCGTTCAGCGTCTGGATGGTGCGCCTGAGCGCGTCCATCTTCGTGCTGACGTCGATGGGCTTCGACGCCTTGTGCAACGCCGTACCAAAGCGCACGATGTTGTCCTCACCAGGGAAAAGCAAGAGTAGCTTCTTTTGCAGCGACTGAAAGGCTGTGATTGTGCTAAGGTTCTCAGCCGAAGAACCACCACCTGCTTCCTCAATACCACGAAGCACGATCTCTGTCGCATTCGATGCCAGCGGCAAGATACGCTCCTTCAACTCACCCACGCCGTAGTCTGGAAACCCTGCCTCCCAAAGCAGTGCGTTGCCCGCTAGACCGCACAAGACATTCCCGCACGCCTCCGTGGGCTCCGCCTTCATGTGCTGCATCTCCTTGTACGCATTCTTCATGTCCTTGCCGTGCTGCTCGATCTTCGGGATGCGCTTTAACCACATCTTCTTCTGGTGTTTCCAGAACTCGTTCGTCATAATGGCCTGGCCGACGATCTGAAATGGGCCTGGATCGTTCTCGTTCCGAGCTGACGCCGAGTCGATGTCGCGAATCGTCTGCCATACGTCTGCTCCGACATCCACCTTCAAGAACGTGTCGCCGCCAAGAACCTGCAGCGCATCGGTCACGTTCACGGACTGAGTGTATACCGACGCGCACACGCTGCCCAGGCATGCATTCTCCCCGATGTTGTCCCAAGCAGCGCGAGCTGCCGCTGCGAACTCGACCACGTACTCCTTCTTGTCTTGTCCGCCCTGGAACCACTTGGGCAGCATGTCCTTAAATATCATGTCGCAGAAGGCGCGGGCCAAGGCGCGATCGCGCAAGGGCAGCCTGGCCAGATCCACTTTCAACACGCTCATCTCGTCATCTGGGTGATCCGTCCACAGGCTGATGTAGCGGAGGACGTCTTTCAGGTTCTCGCTGATCTGTTCTGGAGGCCCCTGGTCCGCCAGCTTGAAACCATTCGAAGCGAAACGGCACGCAAGGGCGACCCACGCTTTGAGTGTTAGCGTGGCCCCCGCCTTTTTCAACGCCTCCCATTTGGTTGCCAAGTCATCGTCGGTCAAGTTGTGACAGTTCACAGTGTTAATCTCAACTGCAAACCTGCACAGATCGACCTTGATGGTGAGGTTGTTCCTGTCGGACGTGCTGAACTTGCTCTTGTGCTGCTCAGCTTGCGAGAACGGCACGCCCATCTTGCTGCCGTCGAAGGCGACCTGGAGGTTGAGCTCGTGGATCCAATACTGGGCCTCCTTCGGTTGGTACGGGTTCTGCTCCACGACGGGTTTGCTCGGTGCCTCGATGACGTGCGGCCTCGCGATCGGGATGTCGACGTCGTCGGTCGGCGAGGCCTCTGGGTGATCGGCCTTCGCCTTCTTGGCCGATGGGTGGCCGCCAGTGGCCTCAGGGTTGTCATCCTCATCGCTCCCACCACCCATGGCGCTGTCACAACCATCTTCAGAGGCCCCATCACCACGCTCGCCTCCGCGAGGGTTCGACACGGCGTCGGCGTCGATGATGGCGCTGGCCGAGGCGCTCCTGAAAAGACCGTCAGCAGGGGCTTTACGCTTCGAGGCCCTCTTTTTCTCGTCGATCTTCTCCGCGCGGTCCCGAAGCGTCTCATCGCACAGCATGGGGAAGTCCTTCCAGACGTACCGCGCAGGCTCCGAATCCTTGTCCTTCATGAACTCATCGAGGCCAGCCGTCCTCATGATGATGCTCTGCTGGACCTCGCCCAAGCCTTGGACGCCCCTGCGCGAGTTCACCTCGGTGAACCGTGCTAACGAAATCCGCACGGAAGGGTACTTCTTCTTGAACTCGTCCGTGCGCTCAACGAGGTAGACCACGTCGTTCTTCGCGGGGACCTTCCACGCGTGGGCGTTGAGCTGCTTCGGGGTCTTCTTGTACTCCTGTGTAAACTGCCAGAACGTCAGCGCGCATGCCTTCACATACATCTCACCCTTGACCAGATCACCATCAACCACGTCGCAGGTGGGCATCATCGCGGTCTCCTGCGCAGTCCTGGTCTTGGAGCACTCGTCTCCCACGAACTCCGTCACGTCCGTCCTCTCAGTCTTCTGCTGCACGATGGTGTCGACGTCAACTCCAGGGAAGTGCGTCACGATCCAGTCGAGGCACTTCATGCACACAGGCTCGTTGTTAACGATGCCCTCGTACCTGTCTTCCTTGGGGCACGACTGACTGTCCACGATGGCACGCGTGCAGTCCTCAAGGGGCAGCGGTTCCTCCCCAAAATTCCTCATCCGTCTCCATCCTCCAGCCTCCCCCCATCCCTGTCCACCCTCCCTCCTCCCACCCATGCTTGCCTCCTCTCTCTATCTTCCTGCACCCCTCCGCCCTCCCTCCCCTTTGTCCCTGCCCCTGCCCTACTCTCTCCTGGACTCCTCCATCTTCCCTCTTCCTCATCTTCCTCCTTTCTTACCTTCCCCATTTCCCCTATGCATCCCTCCTCTCTCCTGTCCTCCTTTCTTCCCTCTCGCCCTCCCCCCTCCTCTCCTCATCATGCATCCCTCCTTCTCACCCATTTCCCATTCAACCCGTTCGTGGTTTGGGGGAAGGGTGAAGGGCCTCAACCGTCGAAACAACTTTAGGGATCCGCTCGGTCCTTCGAGGTGAGCTCACAGACGCTGCACGCAAGCAGCCTCCCGCCCTTGCGGCTGGGCGCAGGCGTGGCCGAGCGCGCGCGCTTGCCGCCACCGCGGCCGCCACCGCTGCCGCCACGGCTGCCGCCACGGCTCTTCCGGCCCCCGGAAGCCCCGCGCCCCGCGCCAGCGCTGGCTGCGCGGCGACTGCGCGCAGAGCTCGGCGGACTCGGGCTGGGCGCTGGCCCGCCGAAACCCGCCATCACGTGGGCTCAAGCAAGTGAAGTTAAGGCTTGGCCGCCAGCGAAAGAATCTCTGTTCACTTGGTTGGGTGCCACAAGAAAAGGCCCTGACAGCCAGGTCCAGAAGCCAAACGACTATGGATAGCACACCGCGAATGGACTCAATACCACAAGTGTTGGATAATCCAATGGATCGGACAAAGGACAAATACCACGGCCTGGCCAGATGAGCTTTCTGAGTGATGCGACCCAGGGGCACACCTCAACGCCCCGTTTTCGAGGCGTTAGTCCTGGCCAGGATCTGGGTTTCTTGGCCAGGGAAATGCTCTGCCGCCCAGGTCCCGCATCTCCCTGCCGCCAAGTCCAGGAATACCTAGTGCCTCAGGGCCTCGGAGGGGCTGGTGGGGATACGCGAATCGTAAAGAATACCAGCCATACCTATACGACTACCCTTCGGGTGATAAGGAGGTGAGGGGGGGGAGGAGGAACCAACGTCTCACTCAATCGATCTCACTATCGATCCCACTATCGATTTCACAATCGATCTCACTCGATCGATCCCACTATCGATCACACTCAATCGATCCCACCATTGATCCCACTATCGATATGATTATCGATCTCACTCCATCGACCTCACTATCGATCTCATTCGAACGATCTCACGATCGATCCCACTATCGATCTCACTATCGACCCCATCATCAATCCCACTATCGATCTCACTCGATCGATCCCACTACACTACCGATCTCACTATCGATGTCACAATCGATCTCACAATCGATCTCACTATCGCACGATCGATCTCACTATCGATCTCACTATTGGTCCCACTATCGATCTCACTATTGGGCTTCTGGGCCTCTTGACCCTCTTGAGACCCACATACACGTATACATACGCATGCATACACGTGTACATACACCGTCTGGGAGCTGAAGTGTTCCGTCCCGCCGCCCCCCCCCCAGCCCCCAGCTATCAGGGCGCTTTGCTGTGGGACATTCCGTTGCCAATTGGCAGGGCTGTCGATCCAGGGCTTCGCCCAACCCGCCGACCTGGAAGGAGGAAAACAAACGCAGGGCTTCGCCCCCCCCCGCCGACCCGAGCAACGGACCCAGAGGGCCAAGGAGAGTCCCAAGATGGCCCTGGGGGTCCAAGATGGCCCAGGAGGATCCCAAGAATGCCCTAGAGCCCTCAGGGCCCAGCAGGGTCACACGAGGGCCCAGTGTATGTGTATGTGTATGTACACGTATATGTGTATGTATGCACACAATTCACAACAACGCCATGTAAGTGTATGCGTATGCGTATGCACATGCTGTGTATGCATGAAGGTGAGTGTGGGTATCTACCCTGGGCGCCGTTTCTGGATGGCCTCAACACCCTGATCAGTTCAACTCTCTGGGCATCGTTTCTGGATGACCTCAACTCCCTGATCAGGGCAACCCCCTGGGCACCGTTTCTGGATGACCTCAACTCTCTTATCAGTTCAACGCCGTGGGCATCGTTTCTGGATGACCTCAGCCCCCTGATCAATTCAAATCACTGGGCACCGTTTCCCTGATCAGTTCAATTCCGCTGGCATCGTTTCTGGATGGCATCAACCACCTGATCATTTCAACTCCTTGGGCATCGTTTCTGGATGACCGTGGCGCACTGATCAGTTCAACTCCCTGTTCATTTTACTGTCATTGCCACGGCAAAGGGAACGGTTAGTGGTACTGCCACGACAAAGCAAACTGTTAGTCATGCCACTCGCAACCTGGACTAACTCATATAATATCCATCCCAATATTCGATGTAGATTTGATCTGTCCAATCGGATATCAACCATCCAAGTGTATTTTAGACCATGTACCAAATGTGCGCTGATGATGTTACCGCCAGCCGTTACCAATCAGCTCAACGCCAATCGCGGTCGCTCCATCCGCTGCCCGCCCAACGCCAGTTATCATTGTCCCATCTGCGATCACGGCTGTGTTCATCTCTGTCGTCATAGTCCCAATTGCTTCTTCGGTCCCAACTGTCTCGATGGTCCCAACTGCGTTTCTCGCCCCAACTGTCGTTATGCTGCATGCTCGCGTGAGTCGCCGTGGCAGGGTCGATGTCACCTTGCTTCTCCATGCCGCCCATGCAGCAGCCACCCATGCCGCCCATGCCGCTGCCCATGCTCATGGGCTGCTTCGGGAAAGGGCCGCTGCCCGTCATCATGTCGACGCCGCCCATGCTGCGCATGCCCATGCCGACCATGGGATTGGCCACGAATTGGCAGCTGCTTGAGCTCATGACCATGCCGCCCATGCAGCCCTGGCCCGTGCCCATAGTAGGCGCGGTCGTCGGCGCCACCATCGGGGTCGCCTTCAGCATGCACGGGGGCGGGCCTCGCGGCTGCATTGGTTGCAGTCCTCTCTCCCGTGCATATAGCAGGGGTGGCGGGGCCGCGGACTTCGAAACCCCCACAGGGTCGCAGCGTGCACTCTCTGGAGGTGGTCACTGAAACTTTGCCATCGTGGGGACACGGTTGTCGCCCTGCGCACCATCAGGCTTAACTGGTTTCTTTGCATTTGGCTCGCGCGTGGTACTGTCGTCAGGCGTACCAGGGGAGCTCCTTTTATTCTGGACAGGCGCCGCTGGTGTCGCTGGGGCGGCTTTGCCAGCCTTCGGCACAGATTCAGTATCACCAGCGTCTTTTGCAGGCCAGAAATCAGGCACAGTCGTAGGCCAATTTTCTTTGGGAATAAGGGCCGTAGTTCCGCCGTCGTCGTGAACGAAGAACAAGAATCCAGGCTGGCGCGAACTAGAGATCGTCACTCTCCACCCCTTTGGCAGTGTCGACACCGCCGCGCCCACCGCTTTTTGCGCAGTGGCTAATAGTTCCGCAGACATTATTGACCACGCCCATCCAGGGAACATTGCCAAGATCCAGTTCCCTTCTTGGCCCTATTGGACCTTCTTGGCTTCTTGGCCCTCTCTGGGCCTTCTTGGCCCTCGTGGGGCCCTCTTGGGGCCCTCTTGGGCCTCTTGGCCCTCTCTGGGCCTGCTTGGCCCTCTCTAGGCCCTCTTGGGCCATTACCAGGGGCCATCTCTGGGCATTCTTGGCACTCTTGGGGCGGCCTTGGCCCTCTTGACCGTCTTGGGCTTCTTGGTTCTCTCTGGGCCTTCTTGGCCCTCTTGGACCATTGCCAGGGGCCCTCTCTGGGCCTTCTTGGCCCTCTTGGGGCCCTCTTGGGTCGGGCAGGGTGCATATCTAGGCTTTTTTGTGCGGGGAGTGTGCACTTTTTTGGGGCCATCTTGGGACGGGCAGGGTGCCCTCTTGTGGCATTCTAAGGGCTTCGTCTTGGGGATGGTGAGGGTGGAAGGCTGTTCCCGTACTGGGTCTTGGCAACGCCCCCTGTATTCAATACAGATATCACCGTAAGCAATCTTCTGGATACAAGAAGTAAGCAATCTCACCGATACAAGAAATCGCAATCAATCGTGTCGGCACAAGAAGTAAGCAATATTTTCTTCTCGATACAATAAGCCGTAAGCAATCTTGTCTTTACAAGAAATCTTGAGCCACCTGGTCGATGCAAGAAGTAAGCAATCTTCTCCACTGAATACAAGAAGTCAATCTGATCGATACAATAAGCCGTAAGCAATCTTATGCGCACAAGAAGTAGGTAAGCACTAGTATGTGTACTGGATGGAAGTACGCAATGTGGAATGTGCCAGAAGTAAGTTATCGAGACAAAGTGCCCTCAGGCGCACAATGCAAAACACAGCCAAGTATGTGCATATGCATGCGTATGCACTTTCACATGCGCATGTGTACGTGGGCCCCAAGATGGGCCTAATCCCCAAAGATACGCCCCAAGATGCCCCAAAGGCCTGAAGATGCTTAAGGCCCCATGGGCCAGGAGAGGCCCAATGGGCTTTTTCCCCAACCATCCTGTGGTGTTGGGTCTTCGTTTTGAAGAGACGTCGCCCCGCGTTCCTCCTCTCCTCTCCTCTCCTCCTCCCCCTCCCCCCTCTGCCCATCACCATCATCATCATCATCGTCATCATCATCACCATCACCATCATGACCGATTTCGGCCGCGCCCCATTTTGGTACACCCATCACATGTTTTGTGGCCCCACGCACGCTTCGTGGCCCCAAAGGGAGCTCCACCGAAGGTCCCAGTGGCGCAGCCCTCATGGCGGCGCCGCCCCATTTTGGCACACCCCTTACTCGTTTCGTGGCCATGGGGGGTAGGGAGCCCCATTTAAGGTCGCAGTGGCGCAGCCCGCATGGCGCAGCCGCCCTATTTTGGCACACCCCTCTCACGCTTCGTGGCCCCATCGGGCTAAAGCCCCAGTGGCGCAGTCCGCATGGCGGCGCCGCCCCATTTGGGCGCACCACTCACGCGCGTCGTGGCCCCATGGGGAGCTCCATCTAAGGTGCCAATGGCGCAGCCAGCATGGCGGCGCCGCCCCATTTTGGCACACCCCTCTCACGCTTCGTGGCCCCAGAGGGAGCTCCATCCAAGGTCCCAGTGGCGCAGCCCGCATGGTGGCGCCGCCCTATTTGTGGCACACGCCTCACGCGTTTCGTGGCCCCACAGGGAGTTCCACCTAAGGTCCCAGCGGCGCAGTCCGCATGGCGGCGCCGCCCCATTTTGGTACACCCCTCACACGTTTCGTGGCCCCATGGGGAGCTCCATTTAAGGATTTAAAGTCCTCGTGGCGCAGTCCGCATGGCGCCGCCGCCTCATTTTGGCAGACCCCTCACGACAACCCAACAACTCAACCAGCCAAAAAGCAAAGGGCCAACACACCAGCCAACCAACCCGCCGCCCAGCCAAACGCCCAACCAACCCAACCAGCCAACCAAAAGGAGGACGGCGGCATTGCTGCCGACAGGCGGCAGATCGGGAAACGTTCCCAAGCCAAAAAAAAAATGGGAATCGATCCCAAGCAACAGGAGACGATCCCAAGCATCGAGATCCGCGCCCAATGGCGGGCAGCAGGCTTATGATATAGTCTCCTCCTGCCCC